TGCAGAACAGGAACCTGCTGTAAAACAGCAATTATGCTGAGTCAGGCTTGATTTTTAGTAATCTTTTCCTGTTGAATCAATAAATCAAATCAAAATCAAATCAATTTTTTTCCCAATTCCTCACTYGAAGTTAAAGGGAACCACAACGACTACTCGTTACTCGTAGGTATTATTTGACAAACATTTACATCAACTGTAAAACAACGACTGTAAAAATAATGTAGGCTGTTTCAGTTTTTATAAATTTTAAAAACATTGTCACATGGACTGCACCGTTTTATTAAGGAAGAGATTCACACTCGTTAATGTACTGGATTTGGTTATAGTAGTTCAGTCCAACTTGTGCTTATAAAAAGAAGTGGTTCAGAGTCTCTTTTCTTCAGAGTGCCTCCTTCATGGACATACAGAAGGATTTGCATTCCTCTGTCCAGAGCTGAGATGTCAGGTTGTCTGTAGCTGTTGGTTGCAGCTTTTTATTTTTATCATAAAAAGAAACTGAAGACTGGACATGGTGAGAATTATAACCTGAAACTTTGTGTTCAGTCAATTGTATTGACTCTGTCATTCTTCTGGATTGTTGTTTCTTTCATTATAAATAGCTTCTTTTTTTTTTTTTTTTAGCTCAGATGAGATCATCACATTATATTCAGTTTGATTGAAATGTGAAAGTCTAACTGTAAGACATAAACCTATATAAACGGGAATTAATTTCTTCTCAAAGCATATTGTGTATTGGTGTGTAAGGGCACCTTGCGGAGCCTCTAAAGATTTTCCTTTTACAAATAACTTTATTTGACATTTTTTTATTTTTGTCTGCTAGGTCATCTGTTTATAGGTCAGCTTTATCTGCAGCCATGCTGAGGGCGAGGTGGGTAAACAACGGTTTATAGGTTTATAGATCTTATTTGTTACCTGATCTGCTCATCAAGGCTTCTTGTATAATAGTAGTTAAAATCTGGATACTTCTGATTTCTAACTGCTGAGTAGAGCAATTGTCATTTGTTGTATTAGTTTTGTTGCACATTCATAGCTCAAACATTCAACATTAGTTAGAATTTGAGAACTAGCCTTTTCTGCAATCTGCAGTATGAATGTTGATTATTGAATGATCTTTCTCAAATTTGCTGAAAAAGCTGAAACTGAGTTGTTAAAGCTAAAGGAAGTAGAACTGAAGCTTAAAAGCAAATCACTTCCTAAAAGGAAAACCTAAATGATAGCTAAAAACAACAAATGTTAAGCAAAGTCTTTTCATTAGCTGTATCACAGTGTGGTTTGGAAATCTCACCAGCAAAGAAAGGATAGGCTTAAACAGAGTAGTACGCGCAGCTTGTTAAACAATAGGCTGTGAGTTGCCAGCCTTGGAGGATATTTTTAAAAGCAGACTTCTTTCTAAGTCTTTTTCTATTATTAATGATCCAACTTATCCTGCTAAAGACACGTTTGAGCTTCTTCCCTCGGGGAGATGGTACCGTTCCATCAAATGTACTACGTCTCGTCATTTAAATAGTTTTTTTCCCACAGGCTCTGAGGGCTTTGAATAATACACATTAACTTTGTCAAGTGACATGGAATGTAACTTGTCCTGTGAAATTTTGTCTGTTGCAGTTGAGGGGTTCTGTGTTCAGTGTTTTTAATTTTTAATTTTAATTTTTTTAACTTTTTAAAAATTTATCTTATACTCTTTTTAATTTTTTTATGTGTGCATGATGAGGATGTGAGCTCTGCTATTGTTTTTCCAATATAGTTTTTTTTAACTGCAAATGGCAATAAATTTGAACTTGAACTTGAAAAAGCTAGTTTTAGCTTTTTTGTCACAGAAAAGCTAAGACTAAAGCTGGGTTCCCACCAAACGCCTTTTGAGCAGCCAAAGTAGCCAGGTTACATGCAAAGTCTATGGTGGGCGCACATCTAGGAGCAGCGCAGCATCTAGCAGCGTGATTTGGCAGTTTAGAGCAGCGCGCAAGGTAGCGGTAGCATGCGGCAGAGCCTTTTCCGTGCGTGATGTAGTCAGCAACTCGCTGAGCTTGGGACAAAAATAAATAAATAAATAAATGTCCATCAGCTCACAGGTCCTGGAGTGGCGAAACTAACCGAACAAAGCGCCTCTAAATCATCTGGTGAATTATCTGCTGTGTGCAATGTTCACTTGCTCTTTAATAAATAAAACAAAGCCATTTTCTTTATTTTATCATAATTTCACCCGTCATTTAAGACAGACCAGAAAAAAAAAACAAGACGCTCCTCCCTCTTCAGACGCGCATCTAGTCCTGTCCCGGTCTGAACATAGTGCATCCAACTGGAGGTGTTGGGAGCATTTTTACGGCTCAAAACGCGTTTGGTGGGAACCCGGCTTAACAAATAAGCTGAAACTCGCAAAACGTTAAATAAAAGTTTCAAAAAGCTATCAAAAATATATAAACACTAGTTTAAAGTAGCAAAATGCTAAAGGTAAAAGTAGCAAAATGC